CTCTTGAGATCAAGCAAATGAAGGGGGGGATCTTAATCTCAGAGCTGACTTCACTTGCTTTTCCGTTGGGTATTGTCCAGTAACAATTTTCAGCTGAGCTTGGAGGTAACGGGCTTACATCTGCGTTGCATCACCCCTTAGAGTAAAGCCCGTCTGACCCGCCACTAAAGGGAGCCCGTGGGCTCGCCCACCCGTGCACACCAGTCTGGTGGCAGGAGACTGGTTGTGACAAGTCGTTCAGCCAGAAGCAATCTTTGGGAACGGAGCTGTCGGTCTCCTGTCCGGAGAACAGGGTGGCTGTGAATGGGAATGAGGAGCTAGGCTGGGAGGCAATGGGAGAAGGGCTTTGCTGAGCGCTCTGCCCTGGCTGGGGAAAAGATGAGTCATGGGCAATGACAGCTCGGCTTCTTTCCCAGCTTGATACTCACTTCCTGGCTTGGACTTACTTTCCCTGCTATCTTTCCTCTGACAAGCACCAACCACAGCAAAGGTGTGGGCAGGCAGACCTGGGCTGTGAGCAAACAGCCCTGGCCAGAATCTCCCAGTTTTCATTGCACTTTTCTCCCCAGTGGGGAGTGCATGAGGAGGAGGGATGTCTGCTTAGCAAAACGAAGGTGTGATGTGAGCAGACAGACTTTACACGTGATGGATCGCTCCAGCAGCACACAGCAGGAGTGTGCTCCAGATGCTCCAGGCTGGAGTATGTGAGTTGTGGTTGCAAGGCTACAGCCTGGGATTGAGCTGCTTTCTGTGCTGCTCACTCCGCTGCGTTCGCTACAGACCTTCTGGCACGCACTGCTCTCGTGGTCTTCCTCTGGCAGATAAACCAGCAGCTTCTAAATGTCATTTCTGCCTGCTGCAGGCCTGCAGGTAAACGAAGTGCAGTCAAGACCCGGGGCTGCTTGGCCAAAGTAAGCGATGCTTTCTGCTTCTCAGGACAAAAAGCTTCACCGAGTGACATTGAACAAAGACAAGAAAATCTTCCAGATGAAGCTTGGCGATGTAGGGGTAGGAGGGACCCCCTTCGCATGTCCTGATGGCTGCAGGCAAGCTGGCTGTCGCTGTTTGCCTCCAGGTCTATCAGAGAACAGCGTGGATCTGGCTGTGGGATCCCTTGCCCATCTTTTCCAAACACCGGGTTATGCTGTAGGGTTACGCTCGACCTGCTGGGTCTGTGCAGGTAGCCTTTTGCCATCTTCTGAGATAGCTTACGTGCTCCTTTTTGTCAGGGCTACAGCCCAGTCCTTATGCAGCCCTCAGTGCGGGTCAGTCAATGTTTAAGATGGGTCTGGACGATACAAATCTTTCCCTGTGCTGCCTGGTCCTTAGTGTCTCCGTTCAGCATCGAGTTACAAGGGGATCGTTGGTCATTCCCAGTTAACTGGGTTAACTCTGAGTCACAGGGCCCTTCTTAGCTGCTCTTTAGCTTTTCACTTCCTCTCTCCTCCTGTAATCCAGTTGTCACACAGGAACCTGTTCTGCCAGGTAACTGGTGACAGCTAATGGCAACCCCAGGCACAGCCTCGGCGTTAGCGCAGCCTTTCCGGTGAGAAGATGGGGCAAAAATCGATTCTTGGAGCCTCCTTCCGTTCTTGCTGTGACCCAGATAGGATACGTGGTGACACGTCTTTGTTTCACCCTCAGGCTTCCCTCCTCGTCCGTGAACTGCTCTGGCTGGTCCCTGTTCATTCTCCAGAAGCTTTTCCTGGACTCCCCGGAGAGGCTCAGCCCTGAAGCACGTGCAGCACGGCCACGTTTTTGCTCCGACTCCCGCACGCTGCCCTTTCCGCTCCATTGCCCTGCTTGGCAGGAGCATCACTAAAGGAGACTCCATCCTCTCACCCCACCTTTTCCAAATGATGGCCCCAAGTGTCTGAGGCCAGAAGGATTCAAACCCTCGCCCTGCCCTGCCCGCTGGCAGCCCCTCTGCGCCAGAGCAGCCGCAGCAGCTCAGGATGCACTGGTGCCCACGGGCCAGTGCTGCACTTGGAGAAGTTTTATGTTTCAGTAGCAGCAACAGCCTGCTATTTGGGTCAGGCAAATCCAAGAGGAATAGTCCACTTTCAGACCTGAGCAGGATTTCTTTGGGTTTTTTTCTGTCTGTCTTAACTTTTAGCTGACTGTCTTGATTTGGCTCGGGCTTTCTCCACCTATCCTGTTGCTCATCTTGCTCCCAGCCCATAACAGCCCTTCCAGACCCGGTGTTTTTCTCACTCCTGCTCACGATTGAGCAACTGAAAAGCTTGGGGCCACATACCAGCCTGCCACCTCAACGGCTTCTGCCAGCTGGATGTCGATTGCCGGTCCGGCAACCACGCTGCCGGGTCCTGATGACACACCCCAAATAATTTGTCTCAGAGAGTGAACCTCCCTCATTCTTTCCATGGTTTCTGCTGGCACCACCTCCATCCCTCTGATGCAGCTCTACCTCACCCGCACCACCCGCCGTCAGAGTCACCTTTGGCTGCAACTCTCTTTGTGCTGGTGAGAGCACCTGTGGTGTGCCTTCGAGGTTGCCCTGCCTGAGCCTTCCGTACCCAACACTTTCGCCTCCTGCACAAGTGTTAGAGGCTCCCATCAGGGAACTTCTCCCATGCCCATGTCAAACTGCATCACGGCAGGGAAGGTGCCTGAAACAGGTGGGGACAGGGACTACAGACTGGTATTGGAGACACCCAGCTGGTACCGCAGCCATCTCCATGTCCTCAGGGCCACCAATGTATCACTGTGCAGTTTTCCGGCCTGGGACACCTTTGCTGGTGGCTCCCTGGAGGACTGAGCAACCACAGCTCCTCTCAGCTGCAGTGGTGCTCCGTTGGACATCTCCCTGTCATTTGAAAAACCTGCCCCATCCCAGGCCTGCCCTGTCAGTAGCCCTGCTGTGGGGCGCTTGCCCACACGCCTGCATGGTTTACCAAAATCCCATTCTAGTCTCTTTGGGATTCAGGCAAAGGACAACTGACGCTTGCTTTCAAGCCTGGGGCTGTCTGACCTAGAAAGCAGTGGCAACAACTCCTCCCGTGGCGCTCTGTGGAGGGACCGGGCCTTTGGGAAGTAAGGCAGCTTACTGTAAGCTCTCTGAAATGCTGTGCTTTTGTGCAGCTGTTACTGGTGTTAATATTTCCCCTGGTCATGACATATTCGAACATCTTTAAGAAGGCATCAGAAAAATCTCCCCAGAAGCAGCAGCCAGCCACAACACTGCAAACAGATGAGAACAGGAGTGGTGACGGTTCTTAAGCCATCCATCACCTTATGGGCGGCTTACTGTAAGCTCTCTGAAATGCTGTGCTTTTGTGCAGCTGTTACTGGTGTTAATATTTCCCCTGGTCATGACATATTCGAACATCTTTAAGAAGGCATCAGAAAAATCTCCCCAGAAGCAGCAGCCAGCCACAACACTGCAAACAGATGAGAACAGGAGTGGTGACGGTTCTTAAGCCATCCATCACCTTATCACTTCTTGAGAGAGAAACGTTTTCAGCGTCCATCGTGTGCCCACTGTTACCAAACCTGGAGTGACCATTACCACAATGTCCGTGGTTACCACAGGGGTTAAAACCCTTTGGTAGACCCTTCATCCCTGGCCCACACAACAGATGGCACAGCAACGCGTTTAACTTGGGAGACTGACCTTTGTCTCTCCCGATGCCCGTCTTGCCTGTTGGGTGCTTCGCGGTCGTGTCGCTAGAGGTGCTTTGGCAACCTCAAGCCTCTGTGAGTCATGCGTCCTCCTCGGCGGGTTCCCTTGGAGTGTCAGCTGGGCATGTCACAAGTTTGCCGAGAGCTGGAGGAAGCCTCCGTGCCGGTCCTGGGTTACATCACAGAGGCGGAGGACGTTTGGACAACTGGTCCTAGTCCGCGCTGAGGCAAGCCTCGGATTGCACAGAGCATCTGGCACCTCCTTTCGGGGCTGCTCGTGAGAAGGGC